TGCTATCACTCTCCTTCTCGCCCGTCAGTGCGTGCAGTTGACAATTATTAATTTCGATTGTTGGGTCGATTTCGTCTGCGCTCGGCATCGCCATCATCGTATCTGTCGGTGGCATTCAGATGGATTGCTTTTTGATTTCAACAAAACACACGCGCATTGCCACCCTCCCTCCTATCCAGCGTATGCTCGTCCAACCATTAACTCCAAACTTGCTATTATGTAAAGAAAAAAACTACAAACTACAACATAACAACATCAATGAAACAACAACAATGCAGCAGCAACAACGCAATAAAAGCAATAACTACAGCAACAAAAACAACAGCAGCAACAAGAGCAACAACTACAGCAACAAAAACAACAGCTACAACAAGAGCAACAACTACAGCAACAAAAACAACAGCAACAACAAGAGCAACAACTACAGCAACAAAAACAACAGCAACAACTACAGCAACAACTACAGCAACAAAAACAACAGCAACAACACAACAAAAGCAACAACTGCAGCAACAAGAGCAACAACTACAGCAACAAAAACAACAACACAACAAGAGCAACAACTACAGCAACAAAAACAAATGCAACACCACAACAAAACGATGCGACAACATTAACTACAACGGTGCAACTATGAAATAATAATGAAATATATAAAAGTAATAATAATAATAATATTAATATTAATAATAATAATACTGTTCTGCGTCGGTTGGATGTTGCGCGATGATGTTTGTATGTACTTGTGTGATCTACGGTTTTAATGTTACATGTTTGCCTGCTCTAACATGTATGTATGTGTGTGCTGTGTTATTGTTGTTGTTGTGTATGTGTGTATGTATGTTGTTATCTGGATGTATGTGTGTGCTGTGTTATTGTTGTTGTTTTGTATGCGTGTATGTATGTTGTTATCTGAATGTATGTGTGTTGTCTTTCTCAAAGCATTTATTGTGGCGAACAACCTTGTATTGATAATTTGAGATTCTGCGTTAAAACTCTATTTATTGGTAACAAAAACCAAATAAAAAACTGATAAATTTATAGAATTAGTTTGAGTAATAAAATGTAATAATTAAAAATGTTTTAAAATTAACTTTAAAATTATTTCTCAAGTCATTTTTTTAGAATAAAAATATTTTGAAGTTAAAACTGCAAATTTGGTTGTTCATCTTATCTACATCAACTATTTAGACAAGTGAAAGATGATTTAATGAAGGGTATAAAGATTTGATTTGGCTACATAATGAATGATGTTGGTGTTGGTGGACTATGATGACGTTGTAATGTGATGATGTCATCATGTAATCAGATACTGATGTTGTAATGTGATGATGTCATTATGTAATCAGATACTGATGTTGTAATGTGATGATGTCATTATGTAATCAGATACTGATGTTGTAATGTGATGATGTCATTATGTAATCAGATACTGATGTTGTAATGTGATGATGTCATTATGTAATCAGATACTGATGTTGTAATGTGATGATGTCATTATGTAATCAGATACTGATGTTGCAATGCGATGATGCGATGAATTATCCTGGGAGGAGACATTTGGATGAATTAAGAAGTTGTCAGAAAGCGTTATCGAGCGATAAACAGGCAACTAACTAATGGCGTCGGCTGTAAATTAAAGACAATAGATGAAGAATTTTTTGAAAAACAATTTCTAGAAAATATTAAAAAAAAAGAAACCGGGACATCTCCCAAATTTTTGTTTCGATCATTAATTTCCTCGTGTCGCGTGTGATCAATGAATATTTTTTGTTTCTTTCAACACAACATCACATCAACACAACATCGACATCACATCAACACATCATATACACATAACATCACATCAACATAACATCAACATCACATCAACACAACATCACATCAACACAACATCAACACAACATCAACACAACATTACATCAACACAACATTACATCGACATCAACATCACATCAACACAACACCACATCAGCACAGCATCACATCAACACAACATCACATCAACACAACATCAACATCACATCAACATCACATCATCACAACATCACATCAACAAAATTTCACATCAACACAACATCACATCAGCACAGTATCACATCAACACAACATCACATCAACACAACATCAACACAACATCACATCAACACAACATCAACACAACATCGACATCAACACAACATCAACACAACATCACATCAACACAACATCAACACAACATCAACACAACATCAGCACAACATCAACACATTGCTACACATCAATAAATTGAAAGTTTCATATTTGAGTTCATCCTGAACTGCACATTCACGAGTGTTGGGACAACTTTGAGATGGAAAAACTTCAATTTCAGAGTCACGACCAAATAACACGATCTATTAATTCCTTCGTTATGGTTTCAGAGTTTCTGTAACTTTAGTTATTCATCCAAAACGATTCTTTATTCTTTGAACAGTGATGATGATAATGATAATAATAACATTAACAACAACAATAATAATAAATATGGTTCGACTAACAACCAACCAAGTGAGTGAAAGGTTTGAAGACATGCACTCACTTTCATTGGCATCGAGATCGTCAGCAAGGTACGCGTACAAGTTCTCGTCACTTAAATATCTTTGCTTCTTATAATAGTTGTCGTTGTTGTTGTTGTTGTGTAAGAAGTGTTGTTGTTGCTGATGTTGCTGATGTTGGAAGTGATTATGGTTTTTTAAAAACTGATGATGATTATGTTGTTGTTGTTGTTGATGATGATGATGTTGTGGTGGGTGATGATGATGATGAACGCAACATGATTCCGGGACAAAGAGTCCTAGATTTTCGTTGCTGCTGTTGAACCAGGAGGTGCTCATGTAGTCCTTCGGTCCGTTCACCCCGCAACATTTCATCTGAGGTGGGTTGGAGGGGTGTTGTTGTTAGTGCTGATTTTGTTGTTGATGTTGTTCGTGTTGTTGTTTTTAATGTTGTTGTTGATGTTGTTCGTGTTGTTGATGTTGGTGGTGTTGTTGATGTTGTTCGTGTTGTTGATGTTGTTCGTGTGTTGATGTTGTTGATATTGTTCGTGTTGTTGTTGTTGATATTGTTGTTTGTGTTGTTGATGTTGTTTGTGTTTTTGATGTTGTTGTTGTTGCCGTTCGTGTTGTTGTTGTTGTTGATGTTGTTGTTGATGTTGTTGTTGATGTTGTTGCTGATGTTGTTGATGTTGATGTTGTTGCTGTTGTTGATGTTGTTGTTGATGTTGATGTTGTTGTTGACGTTGTTGTTGTTGATGTTGTTGTTGTTGATGTTGTTTGTGTTATTGTCTTTAACATTATAATTTTACTTGCAATGTGCTGATGCTTTTTGTTTATTTATTTGTCTCAGTCCACTTGGAATTGGTTTCAATTTATTACCAGGAAAACACAGACCTGCCTATTTTAGAGCACCAGCAAACGTTTGCTGCCCCTTTTGAATAATTCATTGGGTATGTTTTGATGTGAACTTAATATAATCTGTTGCTTGTGGAGGTTTTTGATAAATGTTATAATTAATGTCAGACATGTCACCACAGCCTGCATGTCCTACTGCAGCCCGCCGTCTGCAGTTGAGTAATTGCTCCTCTTTATTTTGATTAATGTCATTTCCATTGCACTCTGACGTAACGTAATGTAATGCCGTCTAATGTAACTTTATGTATTGTAATTTTTAATGTCAGGTTTATCATCATTGTTTAACGGAAGAGAAACGTAAGATGTCACCGTATTTGATTGATATCTACGCGATGCACGTGGCTAGCATTCCTGTCTTTTAAACCAACACAACTCAACCACAACAACTCAACCACAACAACTCAACCACAACAACTCAACCACAACAACTCAGCCATAACAACTTAACAACAACAACAGCAGATGATAACACGAATGCACACAATACCATCTAATTAAGAAGTCGAACACGTAAGTGATGTTGTTGGATCAAAATTTCGAAAAAAATTTCAATCGTTTTTTTTGGTTTGAATTATTTAAAAAAAAATTAATTCATCTGCTTCGTTAACTAGCTTTAAAAACTTGAACTCGCAACTTTCAATAACTTGAATTAGCAACATTTAAAAACTGAATAAGCAACAAATTTCAAAATAAGAAGAAAATTAAAGATGGGAGAGTGACTTGTGACTGAAAGTGGTCCCAGGCGTCAGTGACCCTGACCACGTGATGTGACGTCATGTTCGGGGGCTTCGCTGTCCGGTTGTACGTACTCAGGAGTTGTTGGGTGAGAGATCGGTGGATGGAACGAGAGAGCTGGAGGGTGTGGTGACGATGATGATGACGACGATGATGATGACGACGATGATGGTGACGATGATGATGGTGCTGACGACGATGATGATGACGATGAGGATGGTGACAATGATGGTGGTGATGATGATATGAAATGAAGATGATGACAGAAAGATGTTAATGTTATAAATAGGGATAATAAATTACTTTCGTACCAGGGCCGTCATTCTAAACGTGTGATAATAATCGTGAGATCAGTGGAAACAACAACTACATTAGCAACAACAACAACAACAATAATAAATAATAATGATAATAATAATT